GGCGGTTCGGGTGATTTTTCACGCGCGTCGTCCGTACAAAAATCCTGTCTCGCCGTTCTAAATTCCGCTTATCTAATGGGGTTTCGACAGTAATGTGCCGGCGTATTATGTAGAACCATCCTGCCAGGACCATCCCTTTTACGTGGAAGACCACGAGCAGCGCTGCCGTTTAGCGTCAGATAGCGGAAACGTATGAGGGACGGGGTGAAGCCACCCTTATCTTAAGGGTAGCTACTCAATAGCAACCGAAATTTCTACCACTCTCTCGCACAATCGTTTCTATCTTCGATCGCTTTCTTCTTTTTTCTTCTTCATTTTCCATTTCCTCTTCCTCTCTCTCTCTCTTTCTCTCTCTCTTCCATCGGGAAAATTAAATCGAACTTGTTTCTTCCAGTTTTTCTTCCGCTCGTTTCAGATTCTCGATTAAAATTACAGAGTTGTTGGCAACAAAGGAAGGAACGCCTCTGATTCGTACCTGGAAGGTACACGCGCATAATTTAACGTGCAAGACATCGGGAGCACGAAGAGGTTGGGCTTTGCCACCGCCCGCTTAGGGTTACTTATACTTCGGAAAAGGGCTATGTGTGCAATGCGCGGGAGTGCCTCGGGGGTAGGTGCTTGCGGTAAATCTAATAATGTTGTAATGCTGTTACCCCCCTCAAAGTTGGCCCGTAAGTTTCTGCCGGGCCTGTTGGCTTCGACTCCCGTGCCGAGAATTCCTAACGCGCGCGCCTTGTTTCGCCTGCATACGCGACACGTATATATATACCCGTCCCTCTTTCGTTCCAACGTTTGAAACGAAGCCTCGCGTTCGACGAGAGAGGAAAAAATTAGTAAAAATATCTTATCAGCGGAGCAAAATCAAGTTTCGTATTCGTACCTTCCTTCCTAGGGTTCTTCGGTTTCTCGTAGTAAGATACATTACGTAACATATATGATATAATTTCCAAGACGGAACACACGTGTCGACGGTGCGAATTTCATTAAAAGGGCAGGATTATCGCATTGACGTGTCCATTGACACGGCGGTGGCGGGCAACAGGTAGGTGATACGAAATTGCCGACTTTTCCGGAGGGAACGTTGGACGTCGAAATCGAAAGAGAGCCACGCGCGGTTGACGCGTTCTTCCGCAAATTTCGCCCGTGCCCACCCCTCGCAAAACTCCGCGTCCGCCCTCCGCTTCGCCGACGGTTTGTTAGAACCATGTCACGAGCCAAGGTAAGCCTTCCAGTCACCCGAGGGTGTTCCGCAAACTATTCTCGCGAAAAGTTCAACACAACTTCATAACGTCGGTGTTCCGTGGCGGAATTAGAGGGGGTGAGAGGGTGGTAGAGAAGGACTCGAAGTGGATGAGGGGGGAGGGAGTGGGACTCGGCTCTATCCGAGGGGGTTTCAGGAGGAGGGGAGGAGTAAATTTGTTCTAGCGTGAGCTTACACGGGTTACGTTAAGTACATAGGTGTTTGGGGGTAGTTAGTTGCACTCACCGGCGCAAAATACCGGGGCCGGTGTCTAACTTGAAACGTCCCGTACACGCGAACAACAATTCTCTCCAAGTGAATTCGCCAAGTTTCCACGCATCACGCGTGATAGCGATTGGATGGCCATTAAACGCCACGGGCTTTCGAATTATTCGGTTACCGCTAGGTGTGGGTAATCCTTATTGCAGATGTTGAGGATATTCTATTGGAACGTGGTCGAAGGAGAGATGCGATAAAATTAAGAGTTTAAAGTACATTTCGATTACGGTGATAGGGTTAAATTTTACGGAGACAAAATTTCTCGCCCACTTAAAATAGCAACGCAAAGCCGTTTGCCATTGATCCCCCCGAATCCAATTCTTTTCCTCCAGTAGTCTCCACTTAGCTCTCTTTTCGTTCGTCTCTTTAGCTCATTTTTTTCTTTTTTTTCTTCTCTTTTTTTTTTTTTTGCTCTTCCTCCTTCTCCTTCCACGGTCGAACGACTCTTTCTCGCAATACCGACTCGCGGAGATAAAAATCAGTAATTAGCCGGGACCATTATGGCGGCCGTTTGAAAAATTAGCGGGTCGTGGGGTAACCGCCCCTCTGGGTATAATCCCGCATCGGGAACAGCGCATACCAACCTGCATCCAGCCTGTCTCTGATTTATACGGGTTTGCTATTAATTACACCTACCCGCTTTCCACCAACCTCCAAA